ATAAGAGAAAAGATTTCATATTTGAAAAGACACAGCAGTGAAACGGACTTGGTGATTTTTGGCACTTCTCATTAGCTAGTACTTAAATCTATGCCTGGTAGTATAGGACCCCTTTGCAATTCTACCAACATGCCATTCCATGGTTACTGCCTGGAAAGCCCTTGCCCAGGTGCCCATGTAGAGAATACATTCCCATCTTTCAAGGGGCAGGTCAAGGGACCCCTCAAAGAAGCCTTCCCTTTCTGCCACTCCTGTTCAGCAGAGTCACATGCCCCAGCTCTGTAATCCCAGGGGCATTCATTTATTCTAACACTCACATTGTGTTATAATTTTGCATATAACTGTCTCTCCAACAAGAATGGACATTTTTAAAAACAGAGACTTGTGTCTCTCAATCACTGTTCCTAAGCATGGTACTCAGTATACAGTAGACTGATAAGCAAGAGAAAAAATTGTCAAGATCTGATTCTATACACTAGCAGAAGAAAAGACAAGGAGCGGGAAATGGGAAGGCTGTCATTTTACTGAGCATCTACTTAGTGATAGATCTGGTGAAAGGCTTGTACTCGGCATGTTTGATTATCCTCTACAGATGCAGTGGGAGAAAAGACCAGATTCCAGGGACCTGGTATTTTGTGTCCATATTGTAAAGTATGACTTCCAGGTAAAGTGGGCATGTGATGGCATTCTTAGCAAGTCCACAACTCAGAGTTTGGATGCCAAATGGAAACACAAAAATCAGAAAAAAAAAAAGGAAAGAAAAAAGCAAAACCCAAATAAGAAAATGTATTAGGAGATTTTCAGTGGGCAACAGGAAGGTGAATAGAAAAGTTTGACGGGTTGGACTTAAGCAGAAAAGCACTTTATTCATTTGTATATCCACAAGCATCGTATGCTCTGAGCTTTCAAAATTTGGCCCTCTGAATTTAAAGGTTCTGCATCAACAGATTCAATCAACCATGTAGTGAAAACATTAGAAAAACACATTACATTGTTGTTGACATGGACTATGTAGACAATAGGCCTATAATGGCTGCTGCGTCTGTACTGAATACCTTATGCATATTATTAATGTCAGTATTCCTGGAACAATATAACAATTACTTTTGTAGCATTTACATTGTATTTGGTGAGATAATTTAAAACATATGAATATGTATGTACATTCCATGAGCATACTATGCCATATTCTATAAGAGACACCAGCATCTGAGGCCTTTGGTATCCAAGAGGGATCCTGGAACCAATCCTTTGAAGATTCCAAGGGACAACTGTATAGCACAATCATCCAATCCATCTTTGTACCAATCATGAAAGAGAGATTTAAGGCTACATCTGATGATCAGAGGGGAATAAAAAGAAGTAAAATGGTACCACCCCAGGAGATTCTGACAGGCACCAATACGACCCTAGAACATGAGGATATGCCTGCCTGTTCCTGTACTTTTGTTTCCATTTTTAAAGATATTTCTCACTTCCACCAAGAACTCTACAAAGAATCAATGATAGATGATGTCAAAATGCTCTTGTAAACTGCTATACAACTCCTGGTCTTTTAATCATTCATGTTTATGTTGCAAAATGCTTATCTATGGCCAGCACTTTCCTGGTCAGTACAATTTTGCACTTTAGGCAGGATGACACCTGAAGATCATATTCTAAGTGAAAGGAATACATCTTTGTTGTAATGCTTGCTCAAATAAATCTCAGGGATATCAGGCTTTTTCCTTTACCGCTGCTTCCTAAGGAATAAGTGGGGTGCTTAACAAACTATATTCCAACTTGCAGCCTCCCCAGGAGATCCCCAATAATCTACCAAAGCATATTCATGCTGATCTAAGCTAAGCCTTCTTTTAGAGATTGATCAGGCTTGCAAGACTCTCTCAAATCAATGGCTCTGGACATTAAAGTCCAACACTTTCTTTTTGAAATAGTAAAAATCTGAAGTTTCCTCATTATAGTTGGCAGCTCCCTGGTCTTCACTGGGAAGAACTAACTGCCCTGAGGAAATACCAGTTCATGGTGACAAGAGATTAAAAGAACATTTGAGTTTTAAAGGCCAAGACACTTAGGAGATTCAGCAAAGACTGCTCACAAATTTAATCAGCAGTGAACATACCCTGAGAAGTTTCTAAGCAGCCATGAGCATCAGTTCCTAGTTTGTCATAAAGCTTCCCCTTTCTGCTGTTTATCTGGGTTTATTTATTTATTTTTGCATTGGGAAATCTTGATACATCAGCAGGGTCTTGATTTTTGCAGTGGTTTATAAAGCACATTCCTGAAACACAAAAGTTCCACTACTCTCTGACTTAATATGGCTTGAGTACCTCTTGTGTAAAACCCTTGAGACCAGAAGTATTTCAGATTCTGTGCTTTTATTTATTTATGTATTTATTGAATATTTACACAGACTTTCTCACTTGAGCATCTCTAATCTGAAATTCCAAATACAAAATGCTCTGAAATCTGAATTTTTTTTTAAAACATTATGTTGATGCTCAAAAAGCTTCGAATTTCAGAGCATTTTGGACTTTGGATTTGGAGATTAAGGATGCTCAATCCGTAGTACATGATTTCATTTGTCAGATCATCAAAAAACTCCTTGCAGAAAGTCTAATTCATCCAACCTGAGGTTGAATAGCCTCTTCTCTCAGAAGAGAGCAACACTTTTAAAAAAAATTCTCTTTGATCTAGAAAGGAGGCAGTAAAACTAAAGTCCAGAACCAATCATGAGTGATGCATTAGCTATAAACATGCACCAGTGAAGGCTTAGGGTAGGAGTGAAGCTTTCATTTCAAGGCATAGCAAGAAGTTATAAGCATAGACAGCATTCGTTAAGTAAGGCAATAAGGGAATAGATTAATGTTCTAAAAGAAAGGGAAACAGGGAAAGATGGTTAAAAGATCAAAGGTCTTTGTAGGATGCCATAAGCAGACAGCTGATGTAATACTGTGGTTGAATGGTTAACACTTATTAAATACTAAACTCATTCTATGCTCTGTTCTAAGCGCTTGCATATGAATTGATTCATGGAATCCTCAGAACAATCTTATGATGTGGGTATCATTATCATCTCATTTTATAGCTGAGTAAACAGAGGCACAGGGAGATTTGATGCAAATGACTCAATGAACTGTAGCTAGATAATGGTTGAGTAGGTTTCAAAGTCAGGCAGTCTGGCTCCAGAGCCTACATACCTGAACCATTAGTTGATCCTATATCGCCTTAATTCATGGTCTTCAAGGATAAACAATAATCAAATAAGGGAATTTGTCCTAAGAGCTATCTGAGACTTATACCAGAGATCCTGATTAAATAAGTCTATGGTGGGATCCAGGGATTCGCATTACTGAACCATATTTAACCCAGGTGCTCTGGTACAGGTTGTTCATAGACTAAAGTAATGGAAAAATCAGCTGATAAAATTGACATCTCTTGAAAAAAAAAGAAGGTTTACCAGCCTCACAAGGTCAGAAACATTATCTCAGCACCAATGGATCTAAGGGAAAAAGATGTCAACCAAAGGATTGGAAGAAAGTATGGGACAGGGGAACAAACACCCCGATCTTGCTTCTTATCTGGCCATGAGAGAGGCAGACAGGAGGTGGGGTCAGTAATATTTTGTTTGGATTCACCATGTTTCTAGTTTTATCCAACTTCTTCTAATTTCTTATTCCCCTTAGATAAGGTTTCCCAAGTGTTTTAATCCCAAGCAAGAAGGTGTCGTATAGATGACAGACATTTTCCAATTCCCCACTACAAAGTGAACTTCAGGATGACTATTTTAATGGCTGATCCTGTGCTATTTTAATATCGAACCAGGCCCAAGCACCTGATCATTGGTGTCCAGAATATCCATTTGTGGAATCAGGAATCTGCTCACAAGACACCAGGTCATGGGTTTTTAACCAGGATTGTGGCTCCCAGACCTCACTTCTCAGTGGCCCCTCTCTGCAGTAGGCCACCCCCCAACTTCACAAAGAGAGACTGCTCATCATTGGTTTAGATAAATGAGGTTTAAAATAAAAAATGATTTGTGCACAGACATTTGACAGAATATAATTTATAATAGTGAAGTGCTGAAAATAATCTAAATATGCAACAATAATAGAGAATGGTTTAGTAAATTAGACACACCCACATAAAGAAAAATGGTGCAGTCATTAACATAAATTTTAACTATGCGGCAATTTTTTTTTGCATGGAATATGGTCTCAATGGTCTCAAATATATGAGACCACATGCCTTGGAGGGGAAAAATAAATAGCCCAAATGTGGACAGAACCTATCTTTGGATGGTGGAATTATAGGTGGATATTAATGTACATGCATGTGTGATTGTATGTTCTGAGCTTTTTACATCGAGCAGGTAGTATATTCACAATTAAAAAATAAAAGACTGTCAATTTGGGTCAAATTTCCACCCATTTAGAGAATCATAATCTGTAAGACTGATACTAGTTTTCTCATTACATCTCTTTTCATTAGCAGGCAAATGATAAGACTCTCTAACTCCCTGTACACACTTTCCAAATTTGGGGGCTAGCTAGGATGATCAGGGTATGTCCAGGAATAAGACACAGATAATCAGCCTCTTGTAAGAAAGGAGAAAAATCGTGGTCGTATTTAGCAACTGGCCTGGAGGAGACACGGAAACCTCAATATATTGAGCAAGAATTCTTCCCTTTCAAGCCTGCCCTTGAACATGAGAAGTTAATAGGGATTTAGTTAATTGGCTTATTTTCATCCTAATTGGCTAATGAATCTATGCCACTCTCAAGAAAAACCAAAGAGGAGGAAACAAATAACAGAAGGGTTCAGCTGCTGATTGATGTTTAAAGGGATTGCATTTGGTGTATCAGGAACTCTGAGGTCCCCAGGCCTGGGACATTAGCTTCCCTGGAGAGTTGGGGCACCATCAAGGAAGGGGTGAGCATCCCTGCTGATACACCACAGACTTCCCTGTCTCTTTGAAGAAGAACTAGAACTTACGGCAAGCATTTGATTTGATCATCTAGTATTGAATTCAGCTTAAGCAATATAGACTCTCTCGGCGGGAAACAGAAGATGCAGTTCAACAGAGGCTCTTGTATCATGTGGGTGCTTGGGTCTTCAGAAGGTGCGAGCTAAGCCCACCTGAGCGGAGATTGCTACTTCTTACCCCACACCAACTTGTTCTGCCATTTAACACAGGGATCAGCAATCTCATTTCCTGGAACTAGAGTCAAAAGATCATAGTTAAATCAGTTAGTTCGGCCAGCCTTTTGCAAAAATGTTGAGGCAGGCTAAATCGGGTTTCCACACCTTTTCGCCTGCCTTTTAAGTCTCTTGGCCCTCAGTTCCCTTACTAATTGGACCGATTTTACCTTTCTCCCTCCTTTCAGGCCACCTCTCCTGATCCCCATGCAAGGATTACAGGCCTCACCACCGCAGAGTCGCATCGACGGATGGGCGCTTCTGGTGGCATCAGCAAGGACATCCCTGGCAGGAGCAGCAAGCAGAATGCCTGAGTTTGTGCTAGACCAGAAATTCACTTCAGAAGAGGTTCACCCCCTAACTATCCTAAAGAGATGGCAGGAAATCCTGCCCTTGGTGACCACATGGATGAACCTAGAAGCCATTGTGTTGAGTGAGACAAACCAGGCACAGAAAGACAAAGCATATTGGGGGGTCTCCCCTGTATGTTGAATCTGAGAGAGATGTAGACACAGTACAGAGAATAGCCCGGGGCTCGGCTGGGTCGGGGACTGTGTTAAGGATATAAAATTTCAGACAGGAGGAAGAAGCTCAAGAGATCTGTACAACATGGTGACTGTGGTGAGTTACACTGTTTATGTTCTGCATACCTGAAAATTGCTAAGAAAATAGGTTTTCAGTGCTCTCACCACACACACACACACACACACACACACACACACACACACACCCCTAGGTGAAGTAATGCAGATGTTAATTAGCTTGATTCAGCCATTCCACAATGGATGCATGTATAAAAGCCTTATATTGTACACCATAAATGCGCATGATTTTTGTCAATTAAAAATAGATAATAAAATAATAAAATAGATAAGAGATTTAAAATGGGTAAAAGTTAAAAATGAAGAAATCAAAACTGACAAAGTGGAAGGGAACAGGGAAAGAAAGAGCATATGGTGAGGAGAGCTACACGCTGCCAACATGGACCTCAAGACCAGCTGACACAGGACCGTAGGCTCAGGCCATCCGAATCGCAGAGCTCTGAGAACAGCAGGGAGCACTACCGGGGACTTACAACAAATGAAGAAGGCATTCCCTCCCATGTCTTTGCCTTCCCATTCCTGGTGCATACCTTTAAAACCTCTTGTCTAACCCCCCTCCCCCCAAAAGCACCCATTCGGAAGTCTTACAACTTTGACCCCTGATATGGGATACTTGTAGCATCCCTGGGGATCAAGAGCTTTCAGTGGCTCCTCATTACCACTGTGTACGGGGGCCTCCTTTTCTCTGTCTTCCAGACCCTCCACTACCTGGCAACGATCCATCTTCAGAACCTCTCTCCCAGTGCTTCCTCCTGCACCTTGGCTCCCAGATGAATGAGAGCTCTCTCCTTCCCAGAGTGCCCTGGGCTTTTCTCTTCTCCACATCTATGCTCTTCAGCTGATGGGTCCTGCTCATCCAAATCCTTCTTCTTCTCCCCAGACAGGGCGGCACATGCCTGTGATCTCAGCGGCTCATCAAAGGCAGCCTCAGCAATGTAGCAAGGCCTTAAGCAACTTAGCAAGACCCTGTCTCAAAAATAAAAAGGGCTGGTGATGTTGCTCAGTGGTTAAGTGTCCCTGGGTTCGATCCCTAGAACAAAGGGATCATTTCTTCCTCTGAGAATTTTCCTCAGTAATCCTTCCTGCATCAGGTGATCCCCTCTTCTTCCAATGTTGTCTGCAATATTCCTGTCATGCTACTTCTTATGACATCTCTTGTAATAATAGTGGAAACTGTATTTATATCTTATTATTTATTCTTTGTGGCTAGGAAAAATGATGAACGTTTGAAGAATCAGTAACTGGGAGGCATTCTGAACACACACCATGAGGTGAATAGCATCCCCCTGTCCCCAAATACAGGGGGAGCTTCCTCTTTTTCTAACTTGCTTTTGCTCTCCTACACTTTTCTGTCACTGGAGAACAATTCAGCTCTCTTAACTGAAAGGCAAAAGATTGATAAGCTGATATCAAAACAGAAACAATGATTAATGCTTCTATTGTCTCAGAAATGACAAATCCTTTATCTGTTTGGCCTTTAGAATGCAGTCCTTTAAGTATTCTGGTATGTGGAACCCATCTTGTTCCACAGAGACCTTTGGGCACTTTTCAAAACACAAAAGTTGTGTTCTAGGATGTTTCTTCATGAGGCGTGGGTGGGCATGTTGCAAAGATCTTGTGGAGGCTTTCTGAACCATGCTTATTTGTGCAGAGGTAAAAGATGGGAAGAAACCCCATGCTGCTGCATAGTGGAGTCTCATGAACTCCACTGGAGGTTCACCTACCTGAGGTTTGTCAACAGAACATACATACCTGTTGGTGTAGACATGACCTTGTGGGTCCCTTTGCAGACTATATTAGTGCTGTGCAAATATTCCTACTCAATTGAAAAGGCACATTACACTCAGGGAAATTATTCTCCCAGCAAACAGACAGATGTTTAACTTCACTTAATATGACATTATGGTCTGAATTCTTAATGGGAGACAGGGTCCTTTTGGAGTAGGGTAAAATTGCGCACGCTAAGCTGTAGTAATGCAGTCCTGGTAGTGCAGATTAAGTCATTACGGCTTTCTCGCCGAAAACTTTTTGCTCCTCATTTCAAGCCCCAGAGAACAATGCCATTTGAGAGGCTGCCGTGAACTTGGCACACCTTGGTCCTCCAGAGGGTGTAGAGAAGGTGGCTGTGATGATGCTTATCTGCCTAAGAACTTTCAAACATTCCCCCTTGAAGATTCATACAGAATTACGACCTGTGTCCAATCATGAGATTCTGCTCCTGGGAGAATATGAAACCAGCCTATTCCAGAGATGCTAATGTGGTGGTGCACCCCTTGCCTTCTCCACCAAAGAATCTTAACTAATCTTCTCCAGAGACCCTCGCCATAATTGTTTTTATTAATAGAATATCAGCAAAAATATCTGCAAAGAACTGAATGTGGTATAGGACTTCCTTTTCTCTGTGAGGAATGAGTTGCTCTGTTTCTGCAAAAGCTAAGTTTGGCCACGGGCTTGATGATGTTACTTCTGCTTCTGTGGTCAAACTTGTAAAACCTCTGACTGATGTAAAAAAAAATAGAACAAAAAGCACTTGTCATGTAAACCTCAAACCCCTCTTCCCACTGGATATGAAATTCAAAGAATTTTTAGATTCATGGTCTGGAGAATTTTAGGTGGTAGGCCCTCCAGGTCCTGCAGCCAATAACTCTGCTTCCTAAAACTTCATTGGGTGTTCAGCCTCTTCTGTTCTACATCACTAAGAAGGCATAAGAAATTCAAAGAAAAAACAAAAGGTGGTGGGAGGACACAGAGACTAACTCACATAATTACAGCTATCTTATATTACACAAAGGCACCCAAAACATACATTGGAGAAAAGATAGCCTCTTTAACAAATGGGGCTGGAAAAACTGGAAATCCACATGCAACAAAATGAAATTATGCCCCTATCTCTCACCATGCACAAAACTCAACTCAAAGTGAACCTGGAAGTAAAGGGCAGGAATTAAACCAGAGACACTGTGCCTATTAGAAGAAAAAGTAGGCCCAAATCTTCATCATGTTGGATTAGACCCCAATTTCCTTAATAAGACTCCTATAGCACAAGAATTAAAAAATCAATAAATGGGATGGAATCAAAGAAAAAGGCTTCTTCTCAGCAAAAGAAACAATCAGTGAGGTGAATAGAGAGCCTGCATCTTGGGAGAAAATTTTTACCACTTGCACATCAGATAAAGCACTAAACGGTAAGGTATATAAAGAACTCAAAAAGCTATACACCAAAAAACCCACAAATACCCCAATCAATAAATGGGTCAAGGAACTGAACAGACACTTCTCAGAAGACGATATGCAATCAATCAACACATATATGAAAAAATGTTCAACATCTCTAGCAATTAGAGAAATGCAAATCAAAACTACTCTAAGATTTCATCTCATTCCAATTAGAATGGCAGCTATTAAGAACACAAACAATAATAAGTGTTGGCGAGGATGTGGGGGAAAAGGCACACTCATACATTGCTGGTAGGACTGCAAATTGGTGCAGCCAATATGGAAAGCAGTAGGGAGATTCCTTGGAAAGCAGGAAATGGAACCACCTTTTGACCCAGCTATCCCATTCCTTGGTCTATACACAAAGGACTTAAAAACAGCATACTACAGGGACACAGCCACATCAATGTTTATAGCAACACAATTCACAATAGATAAACTGTAGAAGCAACCTACATGCCCTTCAGTAGATGAATGGATAAAAATATTATGGTATATATACAACATGGAATATTACTCAGCAATAAAAGAGAATAAAATCATGGCATTTGCAGGTAAATGGATGGAGTTGGAGTAGATAATACTAAGTGAAGTTAGCCCATCCCCCAAAACCAAATGCTGAATGTTTTCTCTGATATAAGGAGGCTGATGTCATAGTGGGGTTTGGAGGGGGATCATGGGAGGATTAGATGAATTCTAGAGAGGGCAAAGGGGTGGGAGGGGAAGGGGGGGCATGGAGGTAAACAAGATGGTGGAATGAGATGGATATCATTACCTAAGTACTTGTATGAAGACACGAATGATGTGACTCTACTTTGTATATACTCAGAGATATGAAAAATTGTGCTCTGTATGTATAATATGAATTTTAATGTACTCTGTTGTCATATATAACAAATTGGAATAATTTTTTTTTAAAGCGGGTGGAACTAGACAAAAACCACATACCTAGATTCACTCTTGGGGACTTCAGAGTACAGAGAATAGAATCACTTTCAATCTATTTCCAGAGATAACTGTCCTTTAGGGACTTCAAGGAAGAATTAGAGGCTCAGGAAGTGGAGCTAGAGCTGAGTTTAGACGCGGTAGAGTTTCTTTCAGTGCTGTGACATAGCGACAAGACTAACACCCCTGGAAAGACCCCTCAGCTTTCAATCTGCCCTTCAGCACTGCGCTTGAGGTGCTGGGCGGGGCCTCCGTACACCACATTGTGGTTTTTGTCCGCTTACATCAAAGGCTCCGCCCACAGACCAAAGGACAAGGAGGCTGAATCCTGGAGGTAAAGGGTGGGCTTCTCCCTGTCTGCTTCCGGTGGTCACTAGAGGCAGCACTTACTTGCAGGGTCTTCAACAGGTGCAGGGACCCAGGCGCCAAGCCTTCAGTTCTGGGGTCTCCTCCACTGAGCTGCTAAATTTGCACCCCAGTTTCCTCTCCATGATCTGCCTGTCTTGAGGTGGTAACTGGTTCTTGAGGCTCACCAGTATGATTTCCTCTTCTTTGCGTTTTGTTTTTTGCCTTTCTAATCGTCTAAGATCTGACTGAACAATTATTTTAAATTATCTCAGTTGAAATAATTGCATGGTTTGCGTCTTATTCACTGAGGTCTAATTAATATAACAGAGTCAGGCAGACTCTTAACTATATTTTTTGATATTATCGGTATATTTTGAAAGGTGTATTCATGTGTTAAAAATGTATGGTTAGTCTGCATTTGTTAAGTAAAAGAAAGATCGATATTAAGGTCCTGAAAGTTATCCATGGTATATGTAGTGATAGAGCAAATGCTTTTAAAGCAGCAAGAATCTTGTAATTAGAAAAAAATAAAAGAAACTGTTAAGAAACAGGATTACAGGTTAATGTGATCTCTACGATAATACTTTATTACCCCTGTCAAAATACTTCTTAAAATATAGTTAGCACACGTAATCAGGACCACATGATTTTTATTTTGGCTAATATTTAACCTTAGCCAGGGTTACAATAAATATTAAAAATTTATTGATTAATAAATAACATATTTTCTTAGTTGTATTAAAATTAAGGTGCAATTTTTAATGCTTTGGCCCTAATTTGAAACCAAACACTTATATAATAGAGTAATTCAAAGACACACATGCTCTTGCTTCTAAAAATTTAACTTTTTTAGCTAAATATAGCTAAAGCCCAGCTCATATTGAAGTCCACAGCTGGGAAGAAGAATTAGCAAAACCTTAAATTATGGTCTCATTTACGCTTCTATTTTCAAGCCCATTCATGAATTAATTTTAGCTCTGCATCTCCCTTCAATCAAGCCTTAAATACCTGTCAGAAAAATGACAGTTCAAATATCTGCAAAATATCCTTGCAGTTTCTACACTTTGATTCCTTTGTCCAAATTTCCACACACCCTGTGGGTGAGACTCCCAGGCACAGGCAACAAGGTTGGGCTCTGAATGTAGCCAAGATCCCACATCCAGAGAATGTGCACTGAGTGTGTAGGCCAAAAGGGAACTCCTCATTAAGAAGGTTGACCTTTAACACCTTAGAAAGCAGAGGGGAATATGCTGCAGGGAAGCAAACAGTGTTGGGCGGATCTACAGGAGACCTGAGTTCAGGTTGATGTTCTATGGAGTGGCCTTAGGCTAATCTTAATCTGTGAAGCTGGGCATTGGACTAGGAGAGCTTTGTTGTCCCTGTGGACTCTGCAGTTACATAAGACCATGAAACTGCAATGCCTAGAAGCAACTCAGCCTAAGGCAGTGGTGGCAGAGTATTCTGGAGAATATCACTGAAAATCAGTTCAGTATGCAACCTTCCTATATGAGTATTTATTCAGATTACGCACAGATGTTGTACTAACTGTTACTAATATGGGGTACGCTCTGAAACACTGACCGTCATCCAGCATCCTCTCTTATTCATTCAGTTGCATCCACACTGACCTTGCCCAGCATGCCAGGTTTCATGGTGGGGAAGCACTGGATGCTTCTCCCTCAGCCAGTCACTTGGTTCACATCCTTTTCTACTTTAAGACTTTCTGAAAAATGGCCTTTCCTTGACCTTCCATGATACCCTGAAGACCACATGTGCTGGGTCTCTGTTTACCCTGCAGGTACCTCTTCTCCTTGAATTGCAGTTTTCTGTGCCCTAGGAGTTGATGTTACAATGATTGATTGCATGGGCTCCCCTTGCACAGTAAGGAACTAGAGGGTGAGACAAGAGAGACAACTGGGTGCTTATTTAACCCCTCACTGCTATTCATGCAGGGCTCAGGGGCAGGAATGGGAAATGGCTGTTTCTCTCCCTAGGCCATACCTCCTGTTAATCCTTCTGTTAAGGTGAGATTGCAGTAAATCACCGAGTCGATCTTAAAGCAAGAGACGGAAACTTTATTCACCAGTTGGTGGTCCGGATCCACCAGCTGATGGGCCAAGGGATAGGCTGCAAGTCTATACCCTTCGACCCCCACCTGGGATTTGAGTACACACTTTTATAGTCCAAAACCACAGTAAAACATAAGTGGCTGTTGCTATGATTCAAAACCATAAACAAAAGTCATGAGATCTAAAATCATAAGCAGAAAAGGGAGTGACCAAAACATCCCTAGTTGTGTACAAGTTAAAGAATGGTTACTAACATCTAGACAATCAATCTCTGACAAGGTACATTATCCAAGAATAACGGGAACCAAAGGGAGAACACTTTTGCATTGTATAAGAATTGCCATTTTGTGTTGCCAAACATGCCATCTTAAGCAACTGTTGATGGGTACAGAGACAGGGCCTTTCCCATGGGAGAATCATTTCTTTTTTTCTTTTTTAAAAATATATATTTATTTTAGGTGTAACTGTACCTTTATTTTATTTATATGTAGTGCTAAGACTTGAACCCAGGGCCTCACACATGCTAGGCAAATGCTCTACCACTGAGCCACAACCCCAGCCCCAGGAGAAGCAGTTCTTACATGACATGGAGTCTCAGGGCACAATGGAGTCCTGTTTGGTCATTGCCCATATAGCCTAGGCCCATAACACTTTTGCATTCACAGCCAGGGTACTCTGCTCGATTGGATCACTGTTTCCTCCCCTGGGGGAGAGAACTCCCCGCTCTTGGAAACCCCAGGATGCTCCACCATTCCTTGTTGGTTACTTTTAAACCTTGTCTATTTTCCTACAAAGAGCTCTTCATAAACTCTCCTGTTTCTTTCTAATGCAAAATTTCGAGGGACAGGGACTTTCCATCTGTCCTTGTGCACTGCTATATGGTGAGGTCCTTTGTGTCACAGGCCCTCAAGTAGTTGCCAGAAAAATAGTTGAACAGTATTTTCCTTCTGGCTCCCCATAGACTATCTTGAGCTTAGGGAACATGCTACATCACCCTATTTTACTAAGTCTTTCTTCACCCTATTTTAGTAAGCCTTAGGCTAATTTACTCTAATTCTTATGTAATAGAGAGCTCTGCTTATTTTTAAATCACAAGAAATATAATTTAGCATTAAACACCCCCCGGCCCCTGGAATATCCGCATTGCCTCCTACAAGTTTCCTATGGTAATAGTCCAGTTAGATATTGAGTCAGTCTTGGGAAAGATCTCTTTAGTTCACTTTTACAAACTGTCTTTCTCTTTCCAGATTTCTACTTTAAGCAGAACAAGGAAGATAAAAACTGTCCAAGGAAGACAGGGCCCATTCCCTTTGTCCTTTTCTCACAACAGGACATAATCAACCAAAATCCTCTTCCTCACCTCAGTTACTTAATTTGCATATAATGCTCCATAGTTTAATTAACATATAACTTCTAGGGCTTAGTTGTCCAGATGAGACTCAATAATTGTCTTAAGCAACCACATCCATTATAGCAGAATAACTAATTAAAAAGAAAACGATTTTTTTTTTAAATTGGAAACATATAAATGCTTTTTTTCCTGCATTGTGAAAATCTGGATGATTGCTTCTCCATGAATCGTTTTTGCACCTATTAAAGAGGCCCAGTACTTAACTCGTGAATAGATCAGATCATTTTTCACATGCCTGAGTTTCTTTCCTCTGCATCAATCGATAACGGCCGCTGGATTCTCAGAGCTGCTACTGTACTGAGGAGAATCTGATCTTTAAAACAACCGCATAGAACCTGCTGAGGTGGTCTTGGGAGGGAGAACCAAGTGGCGAGAAACTGCTGACTCTTGCACCCACAGGGAAACTTTCTGTAAACACAGTGACTTCCATGTGCATGTGGCTCCATTTTTAAATGCTGTGCTCATCCCCGGGCTATATATAGCAGCCTGAGTAAGAGCTTTCTCATGTGGTGTTCAGTTTCTTGAGCTGTAAGTCAAAACATTGTGATGTTCACACAGCCTTTGGGAAGAAGAAGAAAAAAAAATCAACTGCTAGTGTTATTAAAATGGATCTCTTGTTTTCTATTACCGCCAGGATGGATTAACTCGCACACATAGATAAGTGAATAATAAGAGAGAATTTTCTTTCATTTGAATGCTATCATATTTTTTCCACTGGGAGCCGTGGCCTGCCTCTTCAGTGTGATCCGAGTTTCCTAGGGCTATGGTAACAACCATCACCCCCTGGGAGGCTCACACAAGAAAGACTTCCTTTCTGTGGAACCTGGAGGGTGGAAGTCTGAAGTCAAGATGGCGGACCTGGTTGGTTCTTTCTGAGGACTCTGAAGGGACAGTCTGGTCCGTGTCTCCTTCTCAGTTCCTGATGGTTTTCTGACAATTTGGGGGGCATTCCCTGTTTCACTCTAGCATTTGCCTCCACACTGACTGACCTGGGTGATTTCCCTGTGTGCATGTCTCCACCCAGATTTCCCCTTTTAATAAAGGACAGTAAGGCATATCGGTTTAGGAGCCCACCTTACTCCAGTATGACCTTGTTTTAACAGAACTAATTGCATCTGCAACAATTCTCATTCCAAATAAGGCCAGATTGTGAGATCCTCGGTGTTGAACTTCAACATACAATTTTGGGAAAAGGGGATAGAATTTAATTCATAACACATGGTAAAAATGAAAAGTTAGGTTTCAAGAAGATGCTAAGAGTCCACCAGGCCCAATCGCTTTGTGTTTTGAGAGCAAGGGAAAAGCAAAGTAACTCATCCAGGGCTACTTAGCAGAGTTAGAGGGAAGGGCAGACTCAGCACACAGGGCTTCCAGCTCTGCCTTGGTGTTTCCTTGAGCACACCAGCTGACCTTTAGTTTTGTTCTCCCTGAAGCTGAACCTCATTCATGTGCAGAGAGGAAGGAGCAACCATGATCTCTTACATGGAAAACTCACCCAAAGACTGCTGTAGCAGGTCTCTACCAGCTTGCTTGGTGGAAGTCATCCAAAAATGAGCTAGATTTGGGTACTGAAAAGGAAAACCTGAGTGCCAGACACAGTACCTTGCGCTTATTCTTCACTCCAAGAAAGTCTGAGTGAAGTTAAACTAATTTTAAT